TGTAGTACAATTTAAAAAAAATGTTACCAAAAAAGTCTGGTCAATTGAATGACTTGGAGAGTGACACCACACGCCTTCTGTCCACCTGTCTACCTGTGACCACACGCCAGGATTATTGGGCAGCCTTGGTGTATAACAACATTGATGCTACCCGTAGAGGTGAGAACATAAATGCCGGGGGAGACTTCCTGAGAAGAGAGAAAAATCACAACGTGACAGAGTCGAGGTTCCCAGGGACATCAAAATTGTCAAGAAAAAATGGCTGATTCCAGTCAACAGCAGAACAACACCCAGGTGCTGATTATCGTTTTAAATCCAGTTAGCAGGATTTTGTTCTGCTTATTGGATGAGGCAACACTGGAAGCTCTTACAAGCACAGACATAATAGGGATAATTATAGAAAAACCACTTAAACAGTTTGCGAAAATAGAACTAACATCTCTATCTTTGGTCTTGACTCATACCAAGATCTTATGTTACTAGAACAAAATGAACGAATCATGATTCCCAAGAGAATAAAGAACATAACATAAGAAAGAACGAACATTGCAGCAAGTCTACTGGCCCATACGAGGCAGGTCCAAGTCGCCTACCAGCTTATGCCACTGACCCAGCCTAGTCAGTTCTAGGTCACATCCACTTAAGGAAGGGGCACGGCATCAGACCCACCAGCACAAGCTAATCAGGTCCAACTCAAACCCAACTTCACCAACTCTTGTATTTATCTAACCTATTTTTAAAACTACAAAATATTTTAGCTTCTATGACGGTATTCGGGAGTTTGTTCCACTCATCCACAACTCTATTACCAAACCAGTGCTTTCCTATATCCTTCCTAAATCTGAAATTTTCCAACTTGAAACTAATGCTGCGAGTCCTGTCTTGTCTAGATATTTTTAGCACGCTATTTACATCACCTTTATTCCTCATTTCCATTTATACACCTCAATCATATTTCCCCAAATTTTGCGCCATTCTACAGAGTGTAGATTCAGGGCGCTCAGTCTATTTTCATAGGAAAGATTTCTGATACTTAGAATCAACTTTGTCATCCTCCTTTGTATGTTTTCCAGTACATTTATATCCATTCTGTAAAACGGTGATCAGAACTGTGCAGCATAATCTAAGTGAAGTCTAACCAAAGTTATATAGAGTTGAAGAACAACCTGAAGACTTTTATTATTGATGGTTTTTGATATGAGTCAAGGATTCTGTTCGCTTTATCTACCTGGAGTCTACCTGGAGGGTATTCAGGAGATCAATGCCCCCACAGCCTGGACCATGATAAGGCCTGTCGGTTTATCAGGACCTGATCAACCAGGCTGTTACTGCTGGGCGCATGTCCATATGAACCACAGCCCTACTGATTTGGCACCGACTTTAAGTATTTATCCAGCTCCCTCTTGAAGGCAGCCAGGGACCTATTGGTAATTCCCTTTATGCATGATGGGAGGCTGTTGAACACTTTTGCACTGTTGTCTTGGTTTCAGATTATTGCTAACTAGAACTCCTAAATCCTTCTAGCAATCAGTAACATTAAGATCTACATTATTTAGTTGTGGCATGGTTATTTTCCTGTCCAACATTTAGAACCTTGCGCATTCCTATATTAAACTGCATCTACCACTTCTCTGACCACTGCATCAGTCTATTCAAATCATCCTGGAGTGCTCTAATGTCCTCATTAGAATGAATTGGTCTATTTTGGTGTCATCAGCAAATTTGCTTATGTCGCTGTTTATTCCCTCATCTATGTCGTTTATGTAAATTGTGAACAACAACGAGCCGAACACTGACCCCTGTACAACACCGCTTGTGTTGCTCTCCCACTCTGA